TGGGGATCAGCACCCTCCATTGGAGATCAGCACCCTCCACTGGGGATCAGCACCCTCCATTGGGAACCAGCACCCTCCATTGGGGACCAGCACCCTCCACTGGGGATCAGCACCCTCCACTGGGGACCAGCACCCTCCACTAGGGACCAGCACCCTCCATTGGGGACCAGCACCCTCCACTGGGGACCAGCACCCTCCTTTGGGGACCAGCACCCTCCACTGGGGATCAGCACCCTCCATTGGGGATCAGGACCCTCCATTGGGGACCAGCACCCTCCATTGGGGACCAGCACCCTCCACTGGGGACCAGCACCCTCCATTGGGGACCAGCACCCTCCACTGGGGATCAGCACCCTCCATTGGGGATCAGCACCCTCCACTGGGGACCAGCACCCTCCATTGGGGATCAGCACCCTCCATTGGGGATCAGCACCCTCCACTGGGGATCAGCACCCTCCATTGGGGACCAGCACCCTCCATTGGGGATCAGCACCCTCTATTGGGGGTCAGCACACTCCATAGGGGATCAGCACCCTCCACTGGGGACCAGCACCCTCCACTGAGGACCAGCACCCTCTATTGGGGGTCAGCACCCTCCATTGGGGATCAGCACCCTCTATTGGGGGTCAGCACACTCCATTGGGGACCAGCACCCTCCATTGGGGACCAGCACCCTCCATTGGGGATCAGCACCCTCCTTTGGGGACCAGCACACTCCATTGGGGATCAGCACCCTCTATTGGGGGTCAGCACACTCCATTGGGGATCAGCACCCTCTATTGGGGGTCAGCACACGCCATTGGGGACCAGCACCCTCCATTTTGGACCAGCACCCTCCATTGGGGATCAGCACCCTCCATTGGGGACCAGCACCCTCCACTGGGGATCAGCACCCTCCATTGGAGATCAGCACCCTCCACTGGGGATCAGCACCCTCCATTGGGGATCAGCACCCTCCATTGGGGACCAGCACCCTCCATTGGGGACCAGCACCCTCCATTGGGGATCAGCACCCTCCATTGGGGATCAGCACCCTCCATTGGGGACCAGCACCCTCCATTGGGGACCAGCACCCTCCATTGGGGATCAGCACCCTCCATTGGGGACCAGCACCCTCCACTGGGGACCAGCACCCTCCATTGGGGACCAGCACCCTCCATTGGGGATCAGCACCCTCCATTGGGGACCAGCACCCTCCATTGGGGACCAGCACCCTCCTTTGGGGACCAGCACCCTCCACTGGGGATCAGCACCCTCCATTGGGGACCAGCACCCTCCACTGGGGACCAGCACCCTCCATTGGGGATCAGCACCCTCCATTGGGGATCAGCACCCTCCATTGGGGACCAGCACCCTCCACTGGGGACCAGCACCCTCCATTGGGGACCAGCACCCTCCATTGGGGATCAGCACCCTCCATTGGGGACCAGCACCCTCCACTGGGGACCAGCACCCTCCATTGGGGACCAGCACCCTCCATTGGGGATCAGCACCCTCCATTGGGGATCAGCACCCTCCACTGGGGACCAGCACCCTCCATTGGGGACCAGCACCCTCCATTGGGGACCAGCACCCTCCACTGGGGATCAGCACCCTCCACTGGGGACCAGCACCCTCCACTGGGGACCAGCACCCTCCATTGGGGACCAGCACCCTCCACTGGGGACCAGCACCCTCCATTGTGGGCCAGCAACCTCCACTGGAGACCAGCACCCTCCATTGGGGATCAGCACCCTCTATTGGGGGTCAGCACACTCCATTGGGGATCAGCACCCTCCACTGGGGACCAGCACCCTCCATTGGGGATCAGCACCCTCCTTTGGGGACCAGCACACTCCATTGGGGATCAGCACCCTCTATTGGGGGTCAGCACACTCCATTGGGGATCAGCACCCTCTATTGGGGGTCAGCACACGCCATTGGGGACCAGCACCCTCCATTTTGGACCAGCACCCTCCATTGGGGATCAGCACCCTCCATTGGAGATCAGCACCCTTCACTGGGGATCAGCACCCTCCATTGGAGATCAGCACCCTCCACTGGGGATCAGCACCCTCCATTGGGGATCAGCACCCTCCATTGGGGACCAGCACCCTCCATTGGGGACCAGCACCCTCCATTGGGGATCAGCACCCTCCATTGGGGATCAGCACCCTCCATTGGGGATCAGCACCTTTCATTGGGTATCAGACCCCCGGGGATTCATTAGACCCAAATCATACAAAGAGAGTGTTAGATCTCACCGATCAGACTCATGCTCATGACGGGTTGCTACGGGTTACGATTGATGAGTCACCAGGACATAGCGTATATGCTAATGATGGATGCTATGGGATACAACTGATACTGATGATGAGTTGCTATTGGTTATAAATGATGATGGGTTGCTATGGGTTACAGCACTTCACCATTCAGTAAATCTCCTGTCACCCTTCATCCAGGCCGCCCAGATCTGTGGTATGGTCGGGAGGGGGGAGGGGGGGTTCATATCGGTCGGTCGTGGACTGTGTGTGGGATGGTCGGGAGGGGAGATGATTGCGGATCATTGACAGCTCTCTGATCTCTCCCTCTGTAGGCGATCCGGATCCTCGTCATGTCGGTGACGGAGTTTAGTCTCCTGCGATGGTTTCGGGATCGGAGACAATCCAGGAAATTGATTCTTCTCATCGTCTTCATCGCCCTCCTGCTGGACAACATGCTGCTCACCGTCGTAGGTAGGCGATACTCGCAGTGTGTGTGTGACAATAATGGGGACATGTCCTGAAGTGTTGTTGTAGCCACACACAGACCAATCTTCCCCCAATCCGCCCTCCATACACCACACAGCTCTCAGGAATCATTGTACCAATCTGTAAAGTGACGGCCCCCATAGACATGCGACCCGACCCGGCCCGACGTCCCGCTGGTACCATAATTGGCTGACACCGACAGCACCCACAGAGACATCCCAACTGAACTGACTCTTCGCGGGAGAGGGGGGGGCATAGAGCGAGGGAGGGGTAGAGGTAGGGGGTAGAAAGGTATATGGAGGGGGGGTGAGAAGGGAGATGTTACCCGTAGGAGATGCCACCCTCAGGAGATGCCACCCTCAAGAGATGTTACCCTCAGGAGATGCCACCCTCAGGAGATGTCCCCCTCAGGAGATGTCCAGATGTCCCCCTCAGAAGATGCCACCCTCAGGAGATGCCCCCCTCAGGAGATGCCCCCCTCAGGAGATGTCCCCCTCAGGAGATGTTACCCTCAGGAGATGTCCCCCTCAGGAGATGTCACCCTCAGGAGATGTTACCCTCATGAAATGCCACCCTCAGGAGATGTCCCCCTCAGGAGATGCCACCCTCAGGAGATGTCCCCCTCAGGAGATGTCCCCCTCAGGAGATGTCCCCCTCAGGAGATGCCACCCTCAGGAGATGTCCCCCTCAGGAGATGCCACCCTCAGGAGATGTCCCCCTCAGGAGATGTCCCCCTCAGGAGATGCCACCCTCAGGAGATGTCCCCCTCAGGAGATGCCACCCTCAGGAGATGGCCCCCGCAGGAGATGCCACCCTCAGGAGATGTCCCCCTCAGGAGATGTCCCCCTCAGGAGATGCCCCCCTCAGGAGATGCCCCCCTCAGGAGATGCCACCCTCAGGAAATGTTAACCTCAGGAAATGTTAACCTCAGGAGATGCCACCCTCAGGAGATGCCACCCTCAGGAGATGTCCCACTCAGGAGATGTCCCCTTCAGAAGATGCCACCCTCAGGAGATGTTAACCTCAGGAGATGCCACCCTCAGGAGATGCCACCCTCAGGAGATGTCCCCCTCAGGAGATGTCCCCCTCAGGAGATGCCACCCTCAGGAGATGTCCCCCTCAGGAGATGCCACCCTCAGGAGATGTCCCCCTCAGGAGATGTCCCCCTCAGGAGATGCCCCCCTCAGGAGATGTCCCCCTCAGAAGATGCCACCCTCAGGAGATGTCACCCTCAGGAGATGTTACCCTCAGAGGAGATGTTAACCTCAGGAGATGCCACCCTCAGAAGATGCCACCCTCAGGAGATGCCACCCTCAGGAGATGTTACCCTCAGGAGATGTTAACCTCAGGAGATGCCACCCTCAGGAGATGCCACCCTCAGGAGATGTCCCCCTCAGGAGATGCCACCCTCAGGAGATGTCCCCCTCAGGAGATGCCACCCTCAGGAGATGTCCCCCTCAGGAGATGCCAACCTCAGGAGATGTCTCCCTCAGGAGATGCCACCCCCAGGAGATGCCCCCCTCAGGAGATGTCCCCCTCAGAAGATGCCACCCTCAGGAGATGTCACCCTCAGGAGATGTTACCCTCAGAGGAGATGTTAACCTCAGGAGATGCCACCCTCAGAAGATGCCACCCTCAGGAGATGCCACCCTCAGGAGATGTTACCCTCAGGAGATGTTAACCTCAGGAGAGCCCACCCTCAGGAGATGCCACCCTCAGGAGATGTCCCCCTCAGGAGATGCCACCCTCAGGAGATGTCCCCCTCAGGAGAAGCCACCCTCAGGAGATGTCCCCCTCAGGAGATGTCTATCTCAGGAGATGTCCCCCTCAGGAGATGTCCCCCTCAGGAGATGCCACCCTCCGGAGATGTCCCCCTCAGGAGATGCCACCCTCAGGAGATATCCCCCTCAGGAGATGCCACCCTCAGGAGATGTCCCCCTCAGGATATGCCACCCTCAGAAGATGCCACCCTCAGGAGATGCCACCCTCAGGAGATGTTACCCTCAGCAGATGTCCCCCTACTAGGAGGAGCAGTGACATGGAGGATGTACTAGGAGGAGCAGTGACATGGAGGATGTACTAGGAGGAGCAGTGACATGGAGGATGTACTAGGAGGAGCAGTGACATGGAGGATGTACCAGGAGGAGCAGAAGCAGGAAAGTGGTCAGGCAGATCCCTGAACTTCCAGGTTCTTCAGGTAATGGGCCGCCATTGGTGGACTCTCCCCAGCAGACTGATCCTATAACGGCCATCATTGTTCTCTCTAGTATGGCGGACGGATCTCCATGACGATGATGAACACGCAGGGAGGAGCTCGGAGAAGAACTCGGTGACTTCTCGGTGAGGTTGTCCTTCTTCTCACTCTCTCTCTGACACAGAATATTTCTCTTCACAGTTCCCATCATCCCCAGCTACCTGTACACCATGACCCATGAATCCAATGGCAGTGTCCCCCAAGAAGGGCCGAGTGGGCTCTCCGCACCCAGCACCTTCCAGACCATCTTCTCCTACTACGACAACAGCACCCTGATCACCACAAATGCCACGTCTGAGACACTACGCCGAGCCAAGGAAGTGACACCACCACCTGCACTCCCCAGCGCTGTGCCAACATCTGACTGCCCCAAGGCCGACTCCAACCTACTCAATGAAAATGTCAAAGTGGGTTTATTGTTCGCCTCAAAAGCCACCGTCCAGCTGCTGACCAATCCCTTCATTGGGCCTCTGACCAACAGGTATGACACGAGCATGACCCTGGGCCACGCCACCTTCCAACATACCAGGACTACGGGGCCACCATTTATCAGTGTGCTTGATGGAAGGACAATCTGGACTCTACACCAATATCCCTTCAGTGTAGGCCAAGCTCTGGGCACAGTGAGAGATACACTAGAGGGCCAGAAACCTGGTGGAGACCCTTTTATGTCCCCCCATGACTGTCCCCTGTGTACAAAGCCAGCTCCATATAGACATAGGGGGGGCTCCATACAGACATGGGGGGCCCAGCTTGGAGGAACTCGAGTGTCCTGCACAGAGCCCTGACCTCAACCCTACTGATCACTGACTGTGAGCCC